GGGCGTAGTCCGAGATGTGGCGGAGGCCCAGGGTATCAAGGCACAGCTTCATCCAGTAATCCTCTCCGCCCTTATGGCCGATCTTCGCGTCGCACTGCCAGTTGTTCTCGAAGAACACCTGGGCGCCCTCCCGGCTCATCATCTCGAAGGCGCCCATGAAGTTGAACCTGAACGCGGTGTTCCTGAAGTAGACGGCAGCACCAGCGGGCGGCTTGAACTGATTGATATGGGCCTTGACACGGTCCGCCATGAAGACGCAGTCTGCGTCGGCCTTGATCACCCAGTCGTGCAGCATGTAGCGGCCGTCCTCCTTCACCTTGCCCCAGTACTGGATGAAAGCGTCGATGTTCGCCTCTGAGCCTGAGCTCACCCAGCCCTCGATCACCAGCTGCTCGTCGCAAGAGTAGACGCTCGACGACGTCTCCTTCATGGTCGCCACCAGCGCCCCCTCGTCCTCCTGCACCCCGGCGGAGGCGCGCGCCCCAGGCATCATCACCACAAAGCAGAAGAGAGAGGTCGGGTGGGCCAGCTTCCCATCCTCGACGGCGGGGAGGTCCTCATCGGGGGGCCCGTAGCCAAGGATCTCGCCGTCCCAACCACCCTCTGGCTCCGCAGCGCAGCCGGCGAAGCTCTCGTCCTTCTTGATGCACTTGAAGTACTCGCACTTGCTAAAGTCCCACGTGCAAGTCTGCGAGCCGCAGCACCTGCTCTCCTGGCAATCGTCGCCGCCGAAGCCACACGGGACGGCACCGAAGTTGTCCCCGACCCAGGGCTTCCGCTCGAAGACCTTCTTGACCTCCCCAACCAGGTAGTCGGTCTGCTCGAGGGTGCCGCACCACGAGGCGTTGAAGTCGTCGCGGAAGTCGTAGACCTCGCCCCGCTCCTCGAACAGGTGGCACGGATTTCCGCCCTCCGGCACCCCGACGTAGGAGAAGGTCGCCTGAACGCAAGAGGCGTGCGACTTGCACCACTCCGTGCAGGCCGACATGCTGTCCATCTCCGGGTACCAGTCGGGCTCCACCTGGCGGCGGAACTCGTTCTCGCTGCCCCCGGGGCGCATCCTCACACCAGGGAGGTCCACGCACGCGCGGCTGCCCGCGGCCTTCCTCAGGGAAGCCTCCTCTGCATCCTTGGCGGCGGCCTTCTGGTCGTCCGCCTTGGCCTGGTCGGTGGTGGCATCGTCGAGATCCTTCTCCGCCGCAGTAAGGTCGTCCTTTGCCTGATTCTGCTGCCTGGCACCCTCCTCGCCGTCCTTGAGCGCCTGCTTGCGCAAAGCCTCGCCTTCCTTGATCTGGGCCTCCGCGTCCTTGGCGCTCTGCTTCGCCTTCTGGACCGAGTCCTTGGCGTCTTGGATCGCCTGCTGCGCCTGCTTCACCTGCTTCTCGGCTTGCTCGGCGCGCTTCTTCGCGGCATCTCCGGCCTCGTCCGCGCCCTTGCCCAGCTCCACGGCCTCCGCGATGAGCTCCTCGGCTGTCCTCGGCTCCTTGCCGCCCCCGGACACGTCGGCCTCCTTCCCCATGGCCGGCAGCAGCACCAGCGCCTTCCTCTTCTGCTGCTCGGCCTCCGTGATGAGGGCCTCGCGCGAGGAGCCCGTGGACCGCACAGGGCGGCCGGGGGCCGCCACCAGGAGCAGAGCGAGGGCCAAGCCGGCCGCCGCCAACGCCGCCGCGGCGGCCCACGCCCGACGCGGGCGCGGCGCGCGGCCCGGTCCGGCCTCGCCCAGGTCGGACTCGCTCCCGCCGAGCGCGGCCCGATCGCCGTCCACGGTGGGCACGCGGGAGGCCATTGCCGAGACTCCTGGTGTTGGCAGGTGCGTCCTGGGTGAGAGGCAGCCTGGGGCCTGAGGACTCAAAGTGTCTCGAGCCAAAGGGGCTGCGCGAGGAGGGGGAGGAGCAGCCCGCAGCAGGGGCAGGGGGGGGGGCAGGTGCCCAGAGGGCTTCGGAGGCGAGTCCGGACTGTTTGGGGAGGTCTCCGCCTGTTTTTCCAGAGAGGGGGGGGGAGATGAGCAGCACCTTGGCTCACCTTGGCTCACCTTCGAGCCGGCAAAACTCAGTGCCAGGAGGGGGGTGGGGGCAAGCTCTACAATCCTTCTCCACCACAATGTTCAGTTACCTACCCCAGCCAGCCACCCTATGCTGCGTTCTCGCGTTGACCACAACAGTACGGTGGGTGAACGAAAAAATCCACGCCCATCGCGTGAAGACAGCGCTACGGCGAAGTGCATCCCAAAAAAACTATAGCCCCTCCAACCCAAAGTTGACAGCGGTGCACGCGAGGCAACGCGCGAAGGACAACACGTGGGCACTGCCAACTTTGGGTCTGGGGGAGAGGGAAGTGGGACCTGCGTGATGAAAGTCGTGATCCATTATCACGTCACATGGTTTTCGTGCCCTTGGTGTGGACACTTTTTGTCCGGCCACCGTACAGCTCCGTTCTTCCTCCCGTCCTCCCCCATTTTTGGTGGCAACTCATGGGAGCCTCCCATACCATCTTGTCGGCTCCTTGCGAATCAGCACTAATCGACGGCAGTCGACGCTAATCGACGCTACATGGGCGCTAACCGACGCTAAATCGGCGCATCTCGCCGACTCCCAGACGCGAATCGACGCTGAAGACGGAATCAGGGCGATACACCAAGCTCCCATGAATTGCCACCGAGCCCATTCTTTCTCCGTGTGCCCTGTCTCTTCCCCCGTCCCTTCTGGCGCCCGTCGGGGCCAAACGCCGCACCAATCCTTCGGAGATGCTCGGCGAACGCGGGGGGGAGGGGGGGGGCTCAGCGGTCGGCGCACACGACATCTTCCTGACGGGCCCCAGGCGACCAGGCCTCGTGCGTGGGGATACAAATGTACATATATACATATATATATATATAGAGAGGTCAATCGTTATGTGTTCCCCAACCATCTTATGGAGTTGGGTCCTCGTTTTGAAGAGACGGTCCCCGCGTTCTCCTCCTTCCTCATCCCCCTCCTCCTCCCGCTCTTCCCTCCTCCCGTCACCCCCCACCACGGCACACCCCTCACACGTTTCGTGGCCCATAGGGAGCTCCACCCGATGCCCCAGTGGCACCGTACACATGCGTCCGCCACACCCTTTTCGGCGCACCCCTCACACGTTTCGTGGTTCCATAGAGAGCTCCACCCAAAGGCCCCAGTGTCACAGTCCACATGCGTCCGCCACACCCATTCCGGCACACCCCTCACACGTTTCGTGGCCCCATAGGGAGCTCCACCGAAGGCCCCGGGAGCACCGTCCACATGCATCCACCACACCCATTTCGGCACACCCCTCATACGTTTCGTGGCTCCATGGGAATCTCCACCCAAAGCCCCAGGGGCACCGTCCACATGCGTCCGCCACACTCATGTCGGCACACCCCTCGCACGTCTCGTGGCCTCATACGGAGCTCCACCGAAGACCCCAGTGGCACAGTCCACATGCGTCCGCCACACCCGTTTCGGCACGCCCCTCACACGCTTCGTGGCCCCATGGGGAACTCCACCCAAAGCCCCAGTGGCACCGTCCACACGCGTCCGCCACACCCGTTCCGGCGCACCTCTCACACGTTTCGTGACCACATAGGGAGCTCCACCGAAGGCTCCAGTAGCACCGTCCACATGCGTCCGCCACACCCATTCCGGCACACCCCTCACATGTTTCGTGGCCCCATACGGAGCTCCACCGAAGGCCCCAGTAGCTCCGTCCACATGCGTCCACCACACCCATGTCGGCACACCCCTCATTTCGTGGCCCCACATGGAGCTCCACCGAAGACCCCAATGGCACAGTCCACATGCGTCCGCCACACCCGTTTTGGCACGCCCCTCACACGTCTCGTGGCCCCATAGGGAGCTCCACCGAAGACCCCAGAGGCACCGTCCACATGCGCCCGCCACACCCATTTCGGCACACCCCTCACACGTCTCGTGGCCCTATAGTGAGCTCCATTAAAAGCCCCAGTGGCACCGTCCACATGCGTCCGCCACACCCATTTCGGCACACCTCTCACACGTTTCGTGGCCCCATAGGGAACTCCACCCAAAGGCCCCAGTGGCATCGTCCACATGCGTCCGCCACACCCGTTCCGGCGCACCTCTCACACGTTTCGTGACCACATAGGGAGCTCCACCGAAGGCCCCAGTAGCTCCGTCCACATGCGTCCACCACACCCATGTCGGCACACCCCTCATTTCGTGGCCCCACATGGAGCTCCACCGAAGACCCCAGTGGCACAGTCCACATGCGTCCGCCACACCCGTTTTGGCACGCCCCTCACACGTCTCGTGGCCCCATAGGGAGCTCCACCGAAGACCCCAGAGGCACCGTCCACATGCGCCCGCCACACCCATTTCGGCACACCCCTCACACGTCTCGTGGCCCTATAGTGAGCTCCATTAAAAGCCCCAGTGGCACCGTCCACATGCGTCCGCCACACCCATTTCGGCACACCTCTCACACGTTTCGTGGCTCCATAGAGCGCTCCACCGAAGGCCACAGTGGCACCGTCCACATGCGTCCGCCACACACACACACACACACATTTCGGCACATCTCTGACACGCTTCGTGGCCCCATAGGGAACTCCACCGAAGGCCCCAGAGGCACCGTCCACATGCGTCCGCCACACCAATTTCGGCACACCGCTCACACGTCTCGTGGCCCCGTAGGGAGCTCCACCGACGATGATACTCACGACTGCGGTGCTCATTGCTGAATATGGTTGGGTCCTTCGCCAGGCTAATTAGGCCTCGTGCCCAGGAGAAAGAAGATTTGCGCAAACTGGTCGGAATATCACTGACGAGGTGCTGAAGGAGACGAGGACAAGGGCAACCAGGAGGACAGCGAGGACGCGGGCCACGAACTGGAGGCGGGGGAACTCAGCTGTGATAGGAGGCCACATGCGAGCCCTACCCCACCACCACCCTTCGAAATCGTGGGGTGGTGGGGTAGGGCTCGCATGTGGCCTCCTAAGCAACGCCACTGCGCCCATGGGGCACCTGCTCTGAACGTGGGTTGCCGCAGCCTCCTGCCGCCTGGCCTGCCGCTCCTCTTGGCGCCGAAGGAGTTCGGCTCGGGAGAAGCGATGCGGCGGCCTGTTCCGGAGCGTGCGAACGGGCAGGTCAAGAGTGCACGGAACAGCGGCACAAGGGACGTGGTAATGGGGAAATCAAAAGGTACCGATACCGCGACGACCGTGAGCTCTCCAGGGGTGCGTTCTGACCAGAATTTCCAGGCGAATCTAGCGGTTGCGACGAGAGCTTCCAAGGAGACCCAAAAAGGGAGACAACGAGCGAAGGCTAGCGGTATGGGCACCTTTTCCTCCTCTGAGTAAGGCATCCTCTGCCAAGGCCATCTGGCACTGCTGGCCGCGCGAGAGAAGTACGCAGTGTGCTAAGCACAGAGGGCGGCCAGCAGCTCCACGATCGCATCCTTGTATCGTTCGTCAAAACACCGCGCGGGCTGCTGACTTGCAGCAACCGTTACGATGTCCGCGCAGACATTCGCACTGACCTTTTAGCAAAGAGATCAAAACCAGAGGCGCGCCTTCCGCGCAGGACGATGGCAAACAACTGCCCATGTGGGCCCTTCGCGCTCGCAGCGGTAGCTATGAAGGTTGGCTACTCTGTCAGAACAGGCTACAGTCGGGCTGGTTGAAAGCACCATGCTGAAAGTTAGTGGAGGCCAGTCCACAAGCGACCTTCCACAAGAACCCAACCCTGAGACCCCAGGGCGCCCATCGATGTTTGGTGTGGGAACGTCACGCTTTCCATTGCAGGACCATCGAAAGCCAAGAAACCCAGGGCACCCTGGAGACAAGCCGGGTGTTTCTTGGCATGGGTCTCCACTGTACGGTCGGGCTGGTTGGAAATACCATGCTATAGAAAAGTTATGCGCACGCTTCACTGGCCGAGGTGATGGCGTTAACTGGGCCTGCCGAACACACAAAAAAACACCTGTGTGGTGAAAGTCAACGCTCACGCATGGGAGTGTGAGAAAAAACACCGCGGCTACGAAGCCGTCAAAGCCACGCGCGTGACCCCCTATGAGGGGCTCAGGACGAGGAGGAGGAGGAGGAGGAAGAGGAGGAGGAGGAACAGGAGGAGGAGGAGGAGGAGGAGGAGGAGGAGGAGGAGGAGGAGGAGGAGGAGGAGGGGGGCTCAGGACAAACAGCCGTGGCCTGCCATGATCTGCAATCGTGCTGGGATGTTGGCCAGCGTCGGGGGGGGTCGAGAAGCCCCTGGGCTTGCGGTTCCTCTGGGGCCTTCTCGAGGAGCCACAGGAGCTTGCAGACGGTACAGGGTGCAGCAGGAGACTGCAAGACTCTTAGCAATTGACTGGAGAGAGTGGAGCCCGCTTCGGGGGTGACTCGGGGCGTCGAGGGAATACCGACACATCCCAGCACGTGCCACAAGGGCAGGGGTCCTCACTGCAAAGGACATGGCACTGGGGATGAATGAGAACGAAGATGCCTGGGGCCTGAGCCACCTGAAAATGAACCTCTGAGCCGCAGGGGACTTCCGCAACGGGCCCCGTCGGGTCGCCCTCTTGATCTTGCGTAGGACATCGGGCCAAAACCTCGGCGGACTCGTCCAGACCACTCATCCACTGCAGGTGTGGCCTTGAGAGCACAGCTCTGTGCGGGGTGCGAACGGAGAGATCCGATGTCTGCTTTTGTCAATCATTGCGCGGCCCCCTGAAGTTCCGACTCTTTCCCCAGGGCCATTTTCACATCCTCCTTGACGGCCCCCTGACCCAAAACCGGCTCCCAAAAAGGCCGAAAACAACAGTCGGGCCGCCGAAACAAGGAACGCAAAATTCGCCGGCCCAACGGGCCAGAGGCGTGCTAAGATCTCCGGTAACTGCTAAATAATACTTCTACTTCGCGCGCGCGGGGCGGCCCCTGGGGGTCCCCGGACGAAAAGTACCCAGGGCGATCCCCGGCAGGGTCGGATCAGAGATGGTTTTCCTCCTGGGCGCCGCCCCCGTGGCCCTCCAGAGAGCCCCAAGAAGGGCCACGAGGCCGCCAAGAGCCCTCCAAGATGGTTCAAGAGTGCTCCGAGATGCCACACGATCGTTCCAAGACGCCCAAGATGGCCCCCAGACGCCCCAAGAGGCCTCCAAGAGCACTCCCCAGAGGGCCCCAAGAGGCAAAATTCATTACTTTTCCTTAGGTTTTGGGCAGATTTTGGCGTGTCCATCTTTTCGGCTTCCCGACGCCCCAAGACGGCCCAAGAGGCCCCCAAGATCGCCCCAAGAGGGCCCAAGAAGCTCCCAAGAAGGCCCCAAGATGGCCCAAGAGGGCTCCAAGACGGCCCCAGAGGCATCCAAGACGGCCCAAGAGGGGCCCAAGAGGGCCCCAAGCGATGCCCCAAAGGGGGAACACAAAACAAAACTTCGAGCCCTCGGCCTTAAGAAGCCCCCAGGAGGCCTCAAGAGGCCCCTGAAAGGCCCCAAAAGCCCCCAAGAGGCCCTCAGGAGGCCCCCAAGCGACGCTGAAGAGGCCCCCCAGCGGCCCCAAGAGGCTCAGTCATGCGAAATGGGCCAGCGGAATGAGCGAAGCGATTCAATAAGGAACGAAGTCCCTTTTAGGCCCCGAAAACCGCCTTTGTTCACGCGGAGGGCTGGAGGAACAGCCATGGAAGGACCCTTGGAACACCGAGCCCCTTCCGAACTCGAACCCTTCCTTGCTTCAGCGCCTCGACTGCAGCCGAGCCGTGGGCCGGCGGACGACGAGGCGCCGCCGGCCCACCCCTCGCGCGGGCCTCGGCTCGGCGGGCGGCGTAGGCGCCACCTGCCCCGCGGCCGCGGCTGGCGCGCCGCCGCCGCCCGACCAGGGGCGCCCGGCCGCCCCGGCGGCACCGCCGCCGCCGCCGGAGCCCGGGCGGCTGGCGGCGGGACGCTGCCGCCGCCGGATCGCGGGCGGCGGCAGGCGCCGCCGCCGCCGCCGCCCCGCCAGACCGCGGGCGACTGGCCGCCGCGGCGGCGGCCGCGGCGACGCCGCCAGAGCTGGGGCGGCCAGCCGCCGTATCTGCCACTGGCCTCCCTCGTCCCGCCTCGGCCGCTTGGTCCGCCCGGGGTTCCTGCTCCTGTTGCTGTTCCTCCTGCTCCACCACCTCCTGCTTCTGCTGCTCCTCCTGCTCCTGTTCCTCCTCCTCCTCCTCCTCCTCCTCCTCCTCTCCTCCTCCTCCTCCTCCTCCTCTCCTCCATCTCCTCCATCATCATCATCATCATCATCTCATCATCATCATCATCATCATCATCATCAGCAGCAGCAGCAGCATCAGCATCAGCATCATTCACATCACATCACATCAGCATCATCATCATCATCATCATCATCATCATCATCATCAGCATCATCATCATCATCATCATCATCTCATCATCATCATCCATCATCATCATCATCATCACCGTCATCATCACCATCACATCCATCATCATCATCATCATCCTCCTCTCATCATCATCATCACCACCACACACCACCACCATCATCATCATCATCATCATCATCATCATCAGCATCATCATCATCTGCAGCATCAGCATCAGCATCAGCATCATCATCAGCATCATCATCCTCATCATCATCAACATCATCAGCATCATCATCGCAGCACAGCAGCAGCATCATCAGCATCAGCATCAGCATCATAATCATCATCATCAGCATCATGATCAGAATCAGCATCATCATCATCAGCAGCAACATCATCATCATGATGATAATCATCATCATCAGGAGCAGCATCAGCATCAGCATCAGCATCAGCATCAGCATCAACATTATCATCATCCTCATCAGCATCAGCATCGTCGCCATGGTCATCGTCATCATCATCGTCATCATCATCATCATCATCGTCATCATCATCATCATCATCAGCGTCATCATCATCATCATCATCATCATCATCATCATCATCATCGTCATCATTATCACCTCCACCATCATCAAAATCATCAGCAGCAGCATCAGCATGAGCATCAGCATCAGCATCAGAATCACCACAAGCATCATCATCATCATCATCAGCATCATCATCATCACCCCCATCACCATCATCAGCAGTATCAGCATCAGCATCAGCATCAGCATCATTATCATCATCAGCATCATCAGCATCATCAGCAGCAGCATCATCAACATCATCATCTTCATCAGCATCATCCGCCTCATCATCATCAGCATCATCATACGCATCATCCTGAACATGAGCGTCAGCATCATCATCATCATCATCATCATCATCATCATCAGCATCATAATCATCATTGCCAGCAGCAGCATCGCCAGCATCATCATCATCATCATCATCATCATCATCATCATCATCATACTCAGCAGCAGCAGCATCGTCAGCATCATCATCATCATCGGCAACTGCACCACCACCAGCATGATCAACAGTGTCACCATCATCACCATCACCGGCACCAGCAGCATCATCATCATCAACACCATATCATCCTCATCATCATCATCATCATCATCATCATCATCATCATCATCATCATCATTAGCATCGCCATCGTCATCATAATCAGCAGCATATTCATCCTCATCATCAGCATCACCATCACCGCCACCATCACCATCACCACTGTCATCATCCTCATCCTCATCAACAACAGCATCATCATCATCAGCATCAGCTAGGTCGTCTCGGCATCAGCATCAGCATCATCATCGTCCGCATCACCATCACCACCGTCACCAGCCATTATCGTCGTCATCAAAATCCTCACCATCATCAGCACTATCAGCATAATCATCAGCATCATCATCATCAGCATCATCATCGTCGTCGTCGTCAGCATCATCATAATCAGCCTCATCATCATCATCGTCGGCATCATGATCATCACTACCACCACCACCGCCGCCGACGTCGCGGCCGTCGCCATCCTTAACACCACCACCGCCATGATCAGCATAATCATAATCATCATCATCATCAGCATCATCAGCATCATCAGCATCGTCATCATCATCAGCATCAGTAGCAACATCATCACCACCACACAACCTTGAGAGTGGGGCGAAAAGTGCCGTTTTTTCTCCATGTTATGCTGGAGCCCCTCCTTCTCCCCCTCCTCCTCCTTCTCCTCCTCCTCCTCCTCCTCCTTCTCAGCCTCCTCCACCTCGTCCTCCTCCTCCTTCTCCTCCTCCGCCTCCTCCTTCTCATCCTCCTCCTTCTCCTCCTCCTCATCATCATCCTCCTTTTCCTCCTCCTCCTCCTCCTCCTTCTCCTTCTCCTCCTCGCTCCTCCTTCCTCACCCTCCTCCTTCTCCTCCTCCTTCATATCCGCCTCCTCCTCCTCCTCCTCCTCCTCTCCTCCTCGTTCTACCTCCTCTTCCTCCTCCTCCTCCTCCTCCTCTCCTCCTCCTACTCCTCCTCCTCCTCCTCCTCATCCTCCTCCTCCTCCTCCTCCTCCTCCTCCTCGTTTCCCCCATCGTCCCCCCCACTCCTCCTTCCGTAGACCTGGCCTAGACTGTGGAATGCAGCAAACTCGACGTGCCCAGAAGAGGCCGCTGCGCCCAGGCACCCTGCGGATGCGCACGCCCCCATCGGCCCCCGCCGCCGCAGGGCGACAGGGAGCGACGAGCCCGCGCGCGGGCGCGGGGGCCGCGGGGCAGATGGCCTCCTCGACCACTTGCCGGCCCCCGCCTTTCAAGCCATGGCGGCACCACCTGCTCGCGCCGTCCCGCCGCCGCCGCACACGCCCCGCGCCCGGCAATTGCCGCGGAGCCCGCAGCACGGCCAGAGCCGGGCGCGCGGCCCCGAGACCCGCGCGCCGCGACCTGCTCACCACGGGCCTGATGTTGCCGGGCCTCGGGCCCAGGGGACCCTCACGGATCGGTGCGGCTCGAGAAGTGCTGCAGAGAGGGGGGGCCTGGGGCTCCGACCGCGACTGGCCAGTGGCGCTTCGCTCTCTGGAGGGCGTTTTTGAATGGAGGCAGAGAACCACAGAGGAGTCCCACGGGGGGGGGGGGGACGGGGAGCCCAAGACCGCCCAGCCCGAAAGCCGGCTCGTCCGAGATTGCCTCACACTCACTCAGGAATCGGGCTCTCGCCTCAATTCAGGCTACGGCTTGGTCCGGAAGGCCACGATCCCGTGGTCTCGGCCTCGTCCTACTCATCGACCCGCCTCTTCACCGTTGCTGCTACTACGGCCGCGAACGTTTGCTTAGCGTGTCGCGGCGGCGGGCCCAGCGACACGCTGTGCCCTGCAAGCAGATAGCGCGTCGCTCCGCTCCGCGGGGCGGCGGGAGGCTGGGGAAAGGCTCGGCACGTGGACATCAGGGGACCCCGAAGCCGATAGCGTGTCGCGCCGGAGCGTGGTGTGCCAGAACTGCCAGGGCGGCACGACCGCGCGAGACTCGGGCGAGCAGAGCGTCGCGAGCGGCGGACATATCCGTATCTGCGCCCTCGCCAACTCGACTCCGTGGCGCGATCCCGCGCGGCCGCGCCGAGACGTTCCGCGCGGAGGGAATCCGCAGAAAAGAACGCCCCGGATCCGAGGGGGTCGCGGCCCAGGGGCCTAGCTCACGAGGCCGCGGATACGGATCTGTCCGCGAGAGCGCCCTGCCCAGGAATCAAGGGGGGAGGCAGTGCGGCACGCGGGCACCGCGGCGACGAGTGTGGCCGCGCCGACTACCGGGGGGGGCTCCTCCTCCTCCTCCTCCTCCAC